ATTCTCATTCCTATAGGAGTGGATGAGAGTGTTGCTGTCATTCTTCAGTATTCTAAAAACAGAATGGCAACATTCACCTGCTCTGCTGGGGTCCAGCTTCACAGTGAAGCCTTTATTGCTGGGACAAAAGGCATAATAGAGGTAGGTTACCAAGGATGGCATGGCAACAACTCAAAAAGACCATTGAGTATGTTTAGTAGTTTGAGTGTTTTTATGTAGAAGAAATTAGAAGTGTCTTCAAACTCTGGTTTAGCTTTAAACCGATGCACATGCTCCAGGTACCTTCACCGATGTGGTGCCCCACCTCACTGGTAGTTAATAAGAAGGAGACCCAATATCCAGTACCTGAACCCTCCTTGCCTCTCAACTTTACCAACAGCACAGGGAAGCGTTTCGAAGCAGGGGAGGTCCGCCAGTGTCTGCTCAAGGGTAATGAGACTTCAGCATTTTGCCTTCTGTAGGTCTGGTACCATTAGCTGCAGAACCTCCTGCCCTCCAGAACTATCATGGAAGATAATGTTGTGCTTGAACCTACTGTTTCTGTGTAATCAAAACTAAGTTGTGATTTGTGGGGATGGCTTCTGTCAAAACAGTTTCATAAATGCAAGCAAACAAGATTCAGCAGAGTTAAATCACTGTTCAATATAGTTGTGGATATTTTTGTTGGGGCCAAACAGCTCCAAGAAAAACCAATGAGTTTCCTGCATTAACTGCTTTGTAAACAACAGCTAAAGGCATAAAGTAGCTCAGCAAATATTAATAAACGGTAGAGCAAAAAACATCAAAAATTGTATGTGAAAAATGGGAAGTATTGACAAAAGGTTGTACTGAACATGGCTAGAGGTGAACAATTGACATCTTGTAAAACGAGATTTAAGTCAACTGCATAAGTTCCTCTAATCTCTGAACTTCTGTAGAGCATTTGTGTCGGTAGACAGCCGACTCATCAGTATGTTTCTCTTTGCAGGGCTGAAGGAGAGTCCAGTCATGCCTCATGCTGACTCTCTGCTGTTGGCTGAAATGGAGGATGAGATCCGCCGGCAGGTGGGAGTGGTGTACAGCCAGGACTGCCAGTAAAAGTTCGACTTATTCGTGTTGTGATAAAATACAACCAGTTTACAATGGAGACCAACTTACTCTGGTTATTTCCGGAATAGTCCATTTCATGTGATTAAAAGTGTTTATATTTTGTAGGAAAACACTACTTGATCTCCACCTTTGATTAACTTATTTTTGAAATATAAACCACTCAAGATGACCTCTCTCAACCACATGAGACGGGTTAGGAAGCTGTTTAATATTTACATGTTGCACACCAGCTTTGTATACAGATTTATTGAAACTCACTGAACACTGTCAACAATGAAATGTAAAGTCTTTGACAATCTGTGAAATAAATGTTATAGCAAAGTTCTAAAAAAATTGCAAATCTGTTTTTCTTTATCCCATCTTTAAAGTTTTGTTCAGCAACATATATCTATATGGTAGGAGTTCGTCTCCTTGAATGTGTTAAAATGTGTAAAAGCAGACTATAGACTACAATTTTGTTATGAATTGTATCGGCAGCAAGTTATTTATTAAAAAAAATGCAGTTTTCTTTAAATTGGTGTTTAAGGGAAAATGTAAATGAACCAACCAGATCTTAAATAAAAAATAAAAAAAAATTGGTCGTGCAACAGGTGGTTGCAGAACATGACAGTGAGTCTTTATGTAACCTAGTTGTCTTTCTCTTATAATTATACAATGTATTTTGGTTATTTCTATTGTTCCTTACCTGACTGAAACGCCTCTAAAAATTAGTCATTGTTTTACTTTAAGAGCGGAAGCCCCTCCTTTATATTTCTTCTTCTGTGGTATTGTCTTTAAATTGTTTGCGCCCCTCGGACCCTCCCCTTTTGACCTGTTGTCCTGTGGGAGAGGTTAGTATTGTTTTCATCAAAATGCATCCAGTTTATTTATATATCTGTTAATTTTTGTTTGTGTAGGACTTGGAGCGGGCAGCCTATAACACGGTTGTTTGCTGTATGTTTTCGTCAGGCATGTTGTATAAAAAGTTTTATTTTGCTTATTTGAAAGTTGAGACATGGTCCCCTCCCCCTCCTTTTGTCATGTTGTCCTGCGGGAGAAGATGTTGAGCCGGCAGCCTATAACACGGTTGTTTTCTGTATGTACTCATTAGAATCGGGGTCATTCTCTAAATTCGGTGCATTTTGTGTCCCACAAGTTTATTTCAAATATTTGCATATAATGCAAACCACTTTTTTTCTTTTTTTCTTTTTTTTTTTGGAGAAAATCAAGAAATGGAAATATCCATGTGTCTTGGTAATGCAACATGCAAATGTTTTTAAAAATGTTATGGGTTGTTGAAGTGTAGAGGTCAGCCAAATGAGCATGTCCTCACTGACCAATATTAATTTGTCAAAAATAATGCCCAGTAACTGTTATTTGTACCATTATAAACATCTTTGGTATACTTTAACCTAAAAAGAAATCTGAGAAAAATACATGAATTATTTATAAAATCGCACTTTTTAATTATGTCCCTCCAAATTTGTTCAATCCCGTAACAGCATGCCAATCCCTCCTTTTTATAAATTTTCTCGGTACCCTGGAAGTGACATCACTTATTTATCTTCCCTCTCACACGGTAAAGAAATTTAAGTGTTAGAAAAGTTTCTTGCCTATACAAGAAACTGTATAATAACCCTCGCTATAACGCAGTTCACCTTTCATGGTCTCGCTGCTTCGCGGATGT